CCAGTGCGCTGAAGGGTCGCGCGGAGCGGGAGACAGCCAGTGCGCTGGAGGGTCGCGCGGAGCGGGAGACAGCCAGTGCGCTGGAGGGTCGCGCGGAGCGGGAGACAGTCAGTGCGCTGGAGGGTCGCGCGGAGCGGGAGACAGTCAGTGCACTAGGGGCTCGCGTGGAGTGAGGCGGCCAGTGCGCTGGGAGACCCGAGAGATGGGGGAACGGCCAGCAGGCTGGATGCTCAAGCAGAGCGGAGATGGCCAGCGGGCTGGGAGGCCCGAGAGTACTGGAATGTTGTTGGTCTGGGGACTGGAGCAGGCAGTCAGCAGCTTGCGAGCCCAGGGAGACCACATATGGAAGTCCCCTGTGCTGAAGGACTGCATGTTCGTCCTTTTAACTTTATTCTCATTTTTCTCACTTATATTATGAACATGTGTAAGTAAAGTAACTTTTCTTTCCTTTCTTTTCTCTTTGTTTCTGCATTTTGTATCTGAGATCTGTATCTAGGTACTTTGTACTTAAGATGGCACTATATGGGTCGGCATTGTAAATTTTTCACTGTACCCCTGTACTTCCGTACTTGAGTACACGTGACAATAAAGGATATATTAAAGGAGCCGCATGGTGGCTCAGTGGTTAGCACTGCTGCCTCACAGCGCCAGGGACCCAGCTTCGATTCCACCCTCAGGTGACTGTGTGGAGTTTGCACATTCTCCCCCTGTCTCCGTGGGTTTCCTCCCACAGTCCAAAGATGTGCAGGCTAGGTGGATTGGCCATGCTAAAATGCCCAGTGTTCAAAGGTGTGTAGATTAGGGGGGGTGGGTCTGGGTGGGCTCCTCTGTGGGTCAGGTGTGGACTTGTTGGGCTGAAGGGCCTGTTTCCACACCATCAGGATTCTTTATATTCTAATTCTAATCTATGAAGCACCAACTGCATTGTTCATTTGCTGGGGAAATCGGTAAAGAACCAAAATTGTGAGTGGCTAGCTCCACTTAAGACTAGCCTATACCTTTTAAAGATGTTTTGATACTGTAATATAGTGGTTATCACATCTGATTTATGTTGAAAGATCCCTGGTTTGATATTAAAACTCATCGGGTCTGCTCCACCATTCGATCATGGCTGATATGTTTCTTAACCCCATTCTCCTGCCTTCTCCCCATAACCCTTGATCCCCTCACTAATCAAGAACCGATCTATCTCTTTTTTAAATACACTCAACAACTTGGCCTCCACAACCTCCGGCAACAATGAGTTACACAGATTCACCATTCTCTGGTTAAAAAAAATTCCTCCTCATCTCAGTTCTAAAGGGTCGTTCCTTCACTCTGAAGCTGTAGCCTTGGGTTCTCGTCTTTCCTATTAGTGGAAACATCATCTCCATGTCCACTCTATCCAAGCCCCTCAGTATTCTCTAAGTTTCAATGAGAACCCCCTTCATCCTTCTAAATTTCATCCAATACAGACCAAGAGTCCTCAACCACTCCTCATATCACAAGCCCTTCATTCCTGGGATCATTCTTGTAAACGTCTTCTGGACTCCCTCTGATGCCAGCATATCCATCCTTAGGCACACTGCCCAATACTAATCACAATATTCCTCACATTGCTAGGGACACAGGTTCAAATCCAACCTTGAGCAACTATCTGTGTGGAGTTTGCACATTATCCCTGTGTCTGTTGGTTTTCTTCCAGATGCACTGGTTTCCTCCCACAGTCCAAAGATGTGCAGGTCAGGCAAATCAGCTGGCCTAAAGTGCCCCATATTGTCCAGGGTTGGGCAGATTAGGTGGATTAGTTATGGTAAATGGAGGGTTACAGGGAGAGGGTGGGTCTGGGTGGGATGCTTTTTGGTGTGTTGGTGCAAACTCAATGGACTGAATGGCCCCTATATGCACTGTAGGGATTCTATGATTCTGCAGCAGCATCATGAGCCATGTCAACAACAAACAGCCCTGTTGCGAGGCAGCCGTCCTTTAATTTACCATGGTAGCTCAAATGCAGCTGACACAGCACACTGCTGCAAAATTAAGCATTGTGACTGATGTCAGGATACCAGGCATTAACCTGGACAATTCTCTGCCAATGGTAAAATAGCAGCTGTACTTTAAGGAAATAGAATCACTTTCATTTCTATTAGAGAGTAGCAATAACATGCAGTGCCTTCAAAGTGAAGTGCCTGCTGTCAAAGCACTCTGCATGTGTCAAGGCACTAGGCGAAACCTACAAACCTAGTAAAGTGAGCTCCTTTGAGTGAAACTGGATAGCAAACTGAAATGCTGTAATTATCTCCAGGTCCAGCCAGCGAGGGGATAAACCAACCATGGTTTATCCATCCAGCAATGGCAAATGTTTTAAGAAAAACTTCATGCCTCACAGCAGATATATATCCCAATGACAAAAGAAGATTCTAGGAAGGGATAAGTCCATGCTTAATTGGGGAAGTTAAGGATAGTATTGAATTGAAAGAAAGAAACAATAATGTGACATGTATTAGTGGTAAGCAAGAGGATTGGAAAAGTTTTAAAAAACAATACTTGACCAAAAAATAAAGGAAGAAAGTATTTTTTGAGGATAAGTGAACAATTAATATAAATACAGACAACAATAGCTTCTTTAAATATATAAAAAGGAAAAGAGAGGCCAAAGTGAGCATCGGCCCTTATAAAATGAGGCTGGGCAAGTAAATTGAGGAATCAGAAAATGGCAGAAGAGTTAAATAAATACTTTGTGACAGTCTTCATGGTAGGAAAAACTAAAATATAACAAAATACTAAATTATTGAGGAGCAAAAAGGGGAAAACAAAATAACAACAGCTATCACTAGAGAAAAAGTACTAGGGAAACAACTGGGCTGAAGACTGATAAGTCCTGGGCTTGGTGGGATGCACCCGAGGATATTAAAGAAAGTATCTACAGAGTTAATAAAAGAAGTGTACTAATCTTCAAAGCAATTCTTACGTTCTAGAAAAGTCACAGAAATCGGGAAAACTACCAACAAAACAACCTTATTTAAAAAAGATGATTATAGGCCAGTAAGTTTAAAATCTGTCATTGGGTATATGTTACAGTCTTTTATAAAACATCTAACAGAAGAGCAATTAGAAATACATAATGACCATGGCATTGGGGGAATAAATTAGCATGGATGGAGGATTGGCTAATTCATTGAAGACAGAGTCAGAAAAGGGGCACACTTTGAGGACAGCAACCTGTAAATAGTGAAGTACTACATGAATCAGCGCAGGAGCCACAAATATTTAATATATCTATTAATGACCTGGTAAATGGAAGAAAATGCCATTGTCAGCAAGTTTGCAAACGACGTAAAAATAGGTGAGCAGGCAAGTGGTAATGATGACAAAAGATTCGACAGTGGATACAGAAAGGTTAAGTGAGAGGGTAAAAATAATCACAGACATAGTGGAGTAAAATACAAGGCTAGGTACTTTCTCCAAAATTCAACAGGCAGAGGGCACACTGCCGGGATTCAGCAGGGAGAGGGTACACTGTCCGGATTCAGCAGGGAGAGGGCACACTGCCCGGATTCAGCATGGAATGGGAACACTGCTGGTATACAGCAGGGTCAGGGCACACTGCTGGGATTCAGCAGGAAAAGGGCACACTCCCATCATTCAGCAAGGACAGGGCACACTGCTGGTATTCAGCAAGGACAGGGCACACCACTGGAATTCAGCAGGGAGAGAGCACGCTGCCAGGATTCAGCAGGGACAGGGCACATTGCCGGCATTCAATCGGGACACGGCATGCTGCCGGCATTCAGTAGGAAGACAATACAGTGCCAGGATCCAGTGGGGAGATGGCACACGGCCAGCATGCAGCAGGGAATGCGCACACCGCCGGGATTCAGCAGGGAGAGGGCACACTGTCAGAATTCAATAGGGAATGGGCATACTGCTGGGATTTAGCAGGAAATAGGCACTGCCGGTGTTCAGCAGGGAATGGGCACACTGTCGGGATTGAGCAGAGAGAGGGCACACTGCCGGGATTCAGAATCGAAATGGGCTCACTGCCAGTGTTCAGCAGGAAACGGGCTCACTGCCGGGGTTCAGCAGGGAGAGGGCACACTGGCCGGATTCAGCAGGGAGAGGGCA